AGAGCACAAGGTTGGGCAAAGACTCTGTGGTCAGAACCCAGCTTGTCAGGCTTAAGGGAGTACAAGGAAGTCATGATGGCTGAAATGTAGAAGGGCAAGGATGAGAGGAGATATCTCCCATGTGGGGGGTGACTAGTCTCTGAACATCCTGGTGGGCTTTTAAGGACTTTAATTAACTGTTACTCATTATGAGGGAGGAAGATGATGACCTTAAAAGATTATATTCAGATGTATGTCTTGAAAAAATTACACTGACCATCCATTATGTTTAAAAGAAACTGAAGCCGGGCTCGGTGGCTCAGCCTGTAATCCCACGCCTTTGGGAGCCTGAGGTGAGGATTGCCTGAGCCTGCGGGTTCGAGACCCGCCTGGGCAACTTGGCGAGACCTCATCTCTACAATAAATCAAAAATCAGCCGGGCGTGGTAGTGCGCGCCTGTAATTCCGGCTACTCGGAAGGCTGAGGCAGAAGGATCGCCAGAGCCCAGCAGGTTAAGGCTGCGGGGGCCGGGAGTGGCCACTGCACTCCAGTCTGGGTGACAGAGTGAGACTCCAACTCAAAAAAAAAAAAGAAAAGAAAAAGAAAAGAAAGTGAAGGGAAGCAAAAGCAGATGCAAGAAGACCAGGTAGGGAAATGCTGTCACAATTCAGAGCAAGAGATGATGGTGGTTCGGGAAAAAGTTGTGATGGTGGATTTGATGAGAATAGCTGAGCTCCAGGCAGACTCACAGGATTTATGACTGGTTGAGAGGTATAAGAGAAGTAAAGGAAAGCCGGGCTCGGTGGCTCAGCCTGTAATCTCACACCTTTGGGAGGCTGAGGTGAGTGGATTGCCTGAGCCCGTGGGTTCGAGACCCACCTGGGCAACTTGGCGAGATCTCATCTCTACAATAAATCAAAAAGTAGCCAGGTGTGGTAACACGCACCTGCAGTTCCAGCTACTTGGAAGGCTGAGGTGGAAGGATGGCCGGAGCCCAGCAGGTCGAGGCTGCGGTAGCCAGGAGCAGCCACTGCACTCCAGTCTGGGCGACAGAGTAAGACTCCAACTCAAAAAAAAAAAAACACCAAAAAACAAAAAAAGCAAGAAATAAAGGAATCCAGTGATGTCAAGGATTTTAACCTGAGAAACTTCAGGAAGGGGGAAAAGTGGTAGGAGGAGCATGATGAGAGAAAGATTAGGATTCTGTTTTGGAAACGTGAAGTTAGGGATATCTTGTATGATCCAAGTGGTAATGCTGATAGGTTGGCTATTCAAGATTGGAGTTCAGGGTAAAATAGGAGTGGAGATAAAAATCTTGTACACATATAATCCTAGATGACATAAAACCCAAGTCAACAATCTGTAGCTTGTGTGTCAAAACCTACTGCCTTTTTATAAAATAAGGTTTTATTGAAACACAGTCATACACATTTTTAAAGACATTGTCTATGGATGCTTTCCTGTTACAATTGCAGAGTGTTTGAAATGGAGACCATACTATCCACAAAGTCAAAATATATCCTATTTGGGTCTTTCACTCCTTTTCTAAGATCATGAAAAGAGTGGGTATAGATAAGTAGGAAACAGACCTGAGAACTGATCTCTCAGTACTTCTTTGACTAGTGGTCAGAATGGAGAAGAAACTGCCAAAGAGACCAAGAAGAAGGAGACAATGAGGTAAGAGAAAAAGCAGGAAAGTGTGTTGTACAGGAAGCTACTTAAAACAAAAGCTAGTCAAGAAGAAGGAATGATCAATGATGCCAAATGCTTTTGAGGACTGAGAAATGGCTGTTAGATTTAACAAAGTAGAGTAGAGGTTGCTAATCTCCTGGACACACCCAGCTTCTGTGGAATGCAAGAGTAAAAGCATGTTTAGAGTGAGTCCAAAAGAGAATGAGATAAGCGGATATAGAAACAGGAAACCCAGATATTTTCCCCCAGAATATTCTTCTATAAAGCAGAACAGAGAAAGGGAATGTAAGTTAGAGAGAGGAATGGCATTAAAATAAATCATCCCTTCCCACTCCATGGTGGGTCCATACTGTTCCTTTATTAAATTTTTTTATTTAAATATTTTTATTTTTGAGGTTTATAACATGTTATTCTGACATACTTATGTAGATATGCATATATATAGTAAAACGAATGCCCCAGACATCATATATAGATTCATTTTAAAAAATAAAGTTCCTTTTTATGCTGATGGGAATGATTCTCTGGGAAGCTAAGCACTGATGATGCAGAGAAGATAGAAGACTTGATGGAATATCCCCTTGATTGGGGAGAAATAGGAGATTTAGCACATGTGTGGAGAAGTTGACCTTAGGCTCACAGGTCATTCATTCATATAGTAAAGACAGGGAGATGCAGTGTGTTTGGACAAGGGTAAGTGAGGGAATAGACTGGCAGTGGGAGCTTGTAAGTTCTCTATTGTTTCCACATTCTTGGTGAATGTGGAAGCAAGAACATCTGCTGAAAGTAGGATTTAACAAGAAATGTTAGAACTCCTAGGAAAGAGGAGTGAGTATAAAAAAGAAATGCTGAGCCAGGCTCAGTGGCTCAGCCTGTAATCCCGCGCCTTTGGGAGGCTGAAGTGAGTGGATTGCCTGAGCCCGTGGGTTCAAGACCCGCCTGGGCAGCAAGACCTCATCTCTACAATAAATCAGAAAAGCCGGGCGTGGTAGCGCATACCTGTAATTCCGGTTACTTGGAAGATTGAGGCGGAAGGATCGCCAGAGCGATTGAAATGCAGCAGGTTTGCTGGGGAGTGTTAAAGACCACTTGAGGTTAGAAGTCACAGCTTCAAAGTGAGAGCAGTTGGCATGGTGTGTGTTCAAGGGCAGGAGGAGGAGAGATATTGAGTAGAGTTGGTTTTAACCAGGATTGGAGTTTTGTTAGGTGAGTAAAATAAGAAAGTTGATGGAATAATCAAGGAAAAGATTTTAATCTGGTAAGAATTTTTACTTCCCTTTTGATAATTGGATGCCTCAATGCTTTTCTTGTTTTCCAAACTATTTTTTTCAAAGAAATCCCTGATCAGTTTTCTCAGCAGAAAGTTGTCCATGAGAAGGTCTGTCATTATGCTTTTTCTAAGTAACTATACTAAGTAGCAATTTAAGCTTTTCTCTTTAGAGTAAGCATATTGTCTCAGAAGCTGAACTCATTATTTCTGAAGTATATCCCATATACATTGTGAATTATTTGGTTCAGTCCATGTATAAGAGAGGACCACTGTCTTAGTCCGTTCAAGCTGCTATAACAAAATACCTACAGTGGATGGTTCATAAAAATAGAAAATGATTGCTAACAGTTCTGGAGGCTGGGGAGTCCAAGAACACAGGTCTATCAGGGTTTGGTTCCTGGTGAAAGCTTTCTGGCTTTCATATAGCTGCCTCTTCACTGTGTCTTCTCATGGTGGAAGGGACAGGACAGTTTTTCTGGGAATCTCTTTTATAAGAGTGGTAATCCCATTCATGAGGGCTTCTCCCTCCTGATCTAGTCACCTCTCCCCCAAAAGACCCCACTTCCTAATATCATCGCCTTGGGGGTTAGATTTTAATATATGAGCCGGGCTCGGTGGCTCAGCCTGTAATCCCGTGCCTTTGGGAGGCTGAGGTGAGTGAATTGCCTGAGCCCGCGGGTTCGAGACCCACCTGGGCAGCGAGACCTCATCTCTACAATAAATCAAAAAATCAGCCGGGCATGGTAGCGCATGCCTGTAATTCCAGCTACTCTTGGAAGGCTGAGGCGGAAGGATCACCGAAGCCCAGCAGGTCGAGGCTGCAGTGGC